GAGATATACAGGGAGCAGCTAGTGAAGGGGCCTTCAAAATGGTGTGGAGTGTGGGCTGGAGTGTGTGTGGCCGGGGATGCTTCCTGGAGGAGGGACACAGATGTGTTTTGAGGGTGGGAGTAGTATTTAGAATAGAAAGTGGGGTAATGCATTGACTTGGGATGCTCCCAGTTGAAAGAAAACAGGCTGAGCAAAGGTCTGAAGGTGACCCTGTGCTTAGGGCCTGTTGCCAGTACCACGAAGGAGGCCAGGCCGGCTACAGTACAGCCAGAAGGCTGGCTTTGGTTCAGGAGGCCTTGAGTGACTGCTCAAAGACATGGACCCAGTTTCCAGCAGGGTATGCTTTGCTGCCAGCGGTGCTTCCCAGACTCCTGTTTCCCAGGGAAGATCTGGAAGTGAATGAAGGTAAAGGAAGATGGTGCCCAGTGCCCAGGCAGCCTGTTTATTGTGCCTTCCCTCAAGAGCGGCACACAGCCAGTAGGACAGCTGGCACCACAGGCCTTTGTGGCAAGAGACCAGGCCTGGAGAGCACAGGCCTGGCACTGCGCAGGAGCAGACCCTGCTGTGTTGGGGACCAAGGCAGGTGAGGCAGGAGAAGGGGATGATGATGGTGATGGTGATAACAGTAGTTGTAATAATAGCCAATTTTCATTGAGCAGTTACCATGGACCATGTGCCAGGCTAAGCTCCAATATTCCATGTTATCCTCTCACAGTGCCCTCTTTTTTAGAGAAGAAACCGAAGCACAGAGAGGTGAAGACACTTGCTCAAGTTCATCTGCTCTTAAGTCGTAGGGCTGGAACTAGAAGCTGGGTGGGCCTGACTCCAGAGCTCTCAGAGCACTGTCATCAGTAAGTAGTGAGTGGCACCAGAAGTTAGAGCTTGCGACTCCAGAGGGCACAGGGCTCTGTGGCCACGACCAGATTTTTAGAGCCGCCCAGAAGACTCAAATTCAACTCAACTTCCAGTTTCCAGGAAGCCGGGGGCAATGTTGGGCCCTGAACTCCTTCAGAACTTTCCAAGGGGTGACATGAGGGAATCCAGAGACCAGGTTCAAATCCCACTTCAGACAGAGCAACCTCTCTGAGCTTGAGTTTTCTCATCTGCAAGATGGGATCATAACTATTTCTTGTGTACTTAGTCTCTTAAAGTGTGAGACCAAGCATTTCCCCAACATGCATGGGGCTCCCCAGCAGCCCCGTGAAGTGGGGATTATTATCCCCATTTTCCAGATGAGGAAACTGAGGTCCAGAGAGTTTAAGTAATTTATAGTGAATTGTAGAACTGGGTCGAAACATAGATCTATCTGATGACAGAACCTTCACTTAAAAAAAAAAAAACAAAAAACCTATTGAAGTACAAACTAGCTAAGGAAACGCCTGGAAAGGGTGACTGGACAGTCTGATGAATTTCCACAAGTGAACATACCTTCGCTGAGGCCCCCCTGCCTCTTTCTAATCACTGCTTCTCTGCAAAGGGAATCGCTACCCTGACTTCTAACACCATGAATCCATTTTGCCTATTTCCTCCCCTTTCTGATATAGACTCTGGGAGGAAGATAGCTTGGATTAATTCCTTACTTTCTTTGGTTCTGTAAATGGTTGATTGTTTTCTATCTTGCTCACTCACTTCGAATGTGAAGGTTCAGTTTTCATTCTCTCTCAGCCACTTGTCGCTGAGGAGCTACACTCTCAGCATCACTTAATGAACTCCAGCCCCATCTAAATGTGGACCTCTTTGGTGTTCAGGTCATTTTCTTAACTTTTATTGAATTATACATTTTTTAAAATCACACATCATAGTATACAGGTCCCAGATATTCACAAAGTGAACATATCTGTATATCCAGCACTCAGATGAGGGACTAGAAGCTTCTCAGCACCCAGCCAAATCCACAAAGTAACTGCAGTCCTATCTTCTATTACCATAGATCAGATTATTCTGTTGTTGTTTTCTTAACTCAATGGAGTAAAACATGAATGGAATCATTCAGTGTGTAATATGTTATATGCTCTTTTGTGCCTAACTCCTTTCACTAGACATTGGGAGGTTCATCCAGGCTGTTGTGTTAACAATCATTTGTATGTTCTTATTTCCCTTAATTTCATTGGTGAGGGGCAGCCCCGATGGCCCAGCAGTTTAGCGCCGCCTTCACCCCGAGGTGTGATCGTGGAGACCCGGGATCGAGTCCCACATCGGGCTCCCTGTGTGGAGCCTGCTTCTCCCTCTGCCTGTGTCTCTGCCTCTCTCTCTCTGTGTCTGTCATAAATAAATAAATAAATCTTAAAAAAGAAATTTCATTAGTGAGTATACCGTAATTATTCATTCTAACGTCAGGGGCATTCAGACTCTTTTCTGGTTTTGGCTATTCTGAATAATGCTTCTGTAAACATTCTAGTTTGTGTCTTTGGGGGAACATGTATATGTGCATCTCTGTTGGGTGTATGCCTAGGAGTGGAATTTCTGGACATTGAACATATGTGCATATTCTGCTTTAGAAGATTGTCACACAGTATTCTGTTATATTGTCAATCCACACCAGTTTGCACTCCCACCCGCACCTTGGGTGACATCCCATTGTTCCATCTTCACCACAGCACAGGCTTGTTATTGCCTGGATTGTTTCCAGTTGAGCCATTCTGGTGGATGGAAAATGGTACCTCAGGTGGTTTTACTGATACTAATGAAGCTGAGTCCTTTTCTATATGTTTCCTTATGTTCTCTATCCTTTATGAAATACCTGTTCAAGTCTTTTGCTCATTTTTTAGTTGAAAGCTATGTCCTTTTAAAAACAGTTTGGAGGAGTTGCTTGAGTAGTTCAGTTGGTTAAACATCTGACTCTTGATTTCAGCTCAGGTCATGACCTTAGGATTCATAGATCAAGCCCTGGGATGGGCTCTATGCTCAGTGGGGAGTCTGCTGGGGATTCTCCCTCTTCCTCTGCACCTCACCCTGCTCACTTGTGTGTATGTGCACAAATGTGCATGCACATTCTCTCTCTCTCTCTCTCAAATTAATAAATAAATCTTTTTAAAAAATAATTTGGAAGCACCTGGCTTGCTCAGTCGGTAGAGCATATATAACTCAGGGTTGTGAGTTCAAGCCCCATAATGGGTGTAGAAATTCCCCAAATCTTTAAAAAAAAAAAAAGATTTGTAGAAAATGTTTATATATACTGAATATGAGTCATTTGATGGATATATTATTGGAAATATCTTCTAGTCCATGGCTTATCCTTTCTCTTTCTTAATAATATCTTTTGATGGACGGAGTGTTATGTTTTAAGGCAGTACAATTAATTTCTCTTTGTGGTTTCTAGGGGTTTTTTGTACCTTGTTTAAGAAATGATTACCTACTCTAAAATCATAAGATAGACTCCCATGTTTTCTTCTAGAAACCTTGTTGTAGGGGATCCCTGGGTGGCGCAGCGGTTTAGCGCCTGCCTTTGGCCCAGGGCGCGATCCTGGAGACCCGGGATCGAGTCCCACGTTGGGCTCCCGGTGCATGGAGCCTGCTTCTCCCTCTGCCTGTGTCTCTGCCTCTCTCTCTCTCACTGTGTGCCTATCATAAATAAATTAAAAAAAAAAAAGAAAGAAACCTTGTTGTATTACCCTTAACATATAGGTCTGTGGTCCATCTTCAATTAATTTTTGTGTATGTATGAACAGAAGTTTCTTCACTTCAATGCAGATTGCTTTATAATTTTTCCTTTATGAGTCTTATTTAAGGAATCTTTACCTAGCTCGAGGTCATGAAGATAGTAGGAAACTTTAGGGTTGTTTTTTTTTTTTTTTTAAGGCTTTTTTTTTTTTTTTTTTTTTTTTTTTAGTAATCTCTACACTCACAACCCCAAGATCAAGAGTTACATGCTCCACCAACTGAGCCAGCCACGTGCCTCGACTTTTCTTTTCTTTCTTTCTTTTTTTTTTTTTTTTGTTCTGTAGTCTCTATGCCCAAGGTGGGGCTCGAACTCACAACCCCAAGTCAAGTGTCACATGCTCTTCTGACTGAGCCAGCCAGGCACCCCCTAACTTTAGTTTTTTAATAACAGTTTTATTGAGCTACAGTTCCTATACCATACAGTATACCTATTTAACATAGATAATTCTGTGGTTTTTAGTATATTCAGAGTGTGTGACTGCTACCATAATCAATTTTTGAACATTTTTATCACCCCAGAAGAAACTCTACCCATTAGCAGTCATTCTCCATTCCTCACTACCCCCCAGCCCTAGGCTGCCGCTAATCTGTTTCTGTCTCTACAGCTTTGCCCATTTGGGATGAACATTTCATATAAATGGAATCATGTAATATATGGCCTTTTGTTTGTTTTTTCTCACTTAGCACAGTGTTTTCAAGGTCTGTCCATGTTGTAGCAGGTGTCAATACCTCATTCCTGTTATGGCTGAATAATATTCCATTATATGGATAGACCACTTCTGTTTATCCATGCATCAGTTGATGGAAAGAGTTTCCACTTTCTGGCTATTATGAATAATACTGCTGTGAACATCAATGTATAATTTTTTATGTGGACATCTATTTCACTTCTCTTGGGAGGAGCCTCCATTCTTAATCCTCTACAGATTCAGTGACAACATGTCTATAAGGCCCTGGTATATATGGAATGTTCACACAGTGACAGCTGTTTATGGATTAGGTTACATAGTATGAGACACACCAATGTCACTGTTAATGAAAGACCCTGTTATCCTCACCCAGACATTGAATCCCCAGCACATGCATGTCTGCCCACAGACACTGTGAAGGGATAAAAATGCTTAGACAAGGCCCCTTGCTTTTTGCAGGTCAAAGCACACATAGCTAGTGGCATAGCAGAGGGGAGCAGGGAAGGAATCAGGAGCCCTGGGGCATGCTTCTGCTAAGCTGCTAATTTGAGTATGACATTTCCTCAGTTTCCCTACTTAGAGAGTGGGCATAGGGCAGCCAGTGGTTGTGACTTTTATGTGGGGCTCACTTAGCTGCTTCTTATTCCCTAGGCTGTGGTTCTGCCAATGATCCTGTGAGTGCTGAGGAGTCACCACTGCCCCTAGGGGCCCCTCTCCTAGATCTGTCCATCTGCCTCCCTCAGCATGGCGTCTGACACCCCCGAGTCCCTTATGGCCCTCTGCACCGACTTCTGCCTGCGCAACCTGGATGGCACGTTGGGCTACCTGCTGGAAAAGGAGACTCTGCGACTACATCCAGACATCTTCCTGCCCAGCGAGATCTGCGACCGGCTTGTCAATGAGTGAGCAGGCAGGGGGCTGGGGCACGGCCATGAGTCTTAGCTTGACAGAGTGTGGAGGCTCTGAGAACGTCAGGTGCACTAGGTGGGGATGTGGCTATGGATACACATGTGTGACGGGGTGTACATGCCCTTGGGTATCAGTGGGCGCAGGAGAACACTGGTATATTCATAACCATAAAGTTACATGTGTGCATGTTGGTATGTGTGTGGAGGGGTGTGCGTGTTTAGGAATGGGTATATACACACATGGGCATCTGCAGCATGGGGTGTGTTTTTTTTAATTTTTTTTTTATAGATTAATTTTTATTGGTGTTCAATTTACCAACATACAGAATAACACCATGGGGTGTGTTTGAGTATATAATTGCAAGTGCGCATTACATCTATGAGAGGTCAGAGCCTTTGGCTCAGGTCGTGATCCCAGGGTCTTGGGATTGAGCCCCACAATGGGCTCCCTTGCTCAGCAGGGAGCCTGCTTCTCATTCTCCCCCATCCTTCCCCCTGGCTCGTGCTCTCTCTCTCGCTTGCTCTGCTCTCTCTCTCAAATAAATAAATAAAATCTTTTTAAAGAAAATTAAAAGCAACCTGCATAATAAACAAAGGAGTTCTGTGCTGATCCATATGTGTGTATATGCCTGTGTGTGTACTGATAACAAATAATGGATCCATGACCAGGAATCAAATCATTCAGAAAATCTTTGTGTGGACCCTCCAAGGGACTCCTCACTATTAGAGGGTCCTAGCAATAGGATACACTTTCACTCACCTCAGGAAGTTTGGTCTGGATGCCCAGAAAGGAAATTGTTAGAGCAAACAGTTGCATATAAAAGTGGGAACTTGTGGGGTGCCTGGCTGGCTCAGTTGGTGGAGCGTGTGACTTGATCTTGGGGTTATGAGTTTGAGCTTCATGCTGGGGGTGGAGATTATTTAAAAATAAAATCCTTTTTTTCTTAAGATTTATTTATTTATTTGAGAGAGAGAGAGAGAGCATGAGCAGGAGGGGCAGGAGGGAGAGAGAGAGAGAGAGAGAGAGAGAATACCAAGCAGACTCCTCACAGAGTACAGAGCCTGACAAGGGGCTCAATTAAGCTACCCAGGCACCCTGTATTTTATTTTGTTTTTTAAAGATTTTATTTTTAGGGGTGCCTGGGTGGCTCAGTCGATTGAGCAGCTGACTTTTTTTTTTTTTTTTTTTTTGAGCAGCTGACTCTTGATTTTGGCTCAGGTCATGATCTCAGGACTATGAACTTGAGCCCCACATTGGACTCCATGCTCAGCAAGAAGTCTGCTTCTCTCCCTCTCCCTCTGCCCCTCCCCTTGTTTGCTCACTTTCTCTCTAAAATGAATAAATAAATCTGAAAAACATAAATAAGATAAATCTGAAAAAGAAAAGAAAAAAAAAGTGGGAACTTTTATGTGATCTGAGGACACAGCCCGACTTGTAAGCATGTTCTGAGCATTTAAGGTGGATCAGGCACTTGCTTGGATGCTTTGCAGACCAGAGTTATGTCCATTTTACAAATGAAAAAACTAAAGTCTGGGGAAGTTCCATGACTTGTGTGAAGTTGCCCAGGTAATGAACAGCCAAGCCAGGATTTAGTTTCCAGAATGTTTGACTCCACAACCACCAGACCGAGATTCTTGCATCAACTGTCATCTCAAACAGGGTCTTATTGGGCGCTTGTCCTATACCCAGCTGGAAGTGTTAAACCCCTTGGCTTAATCTTCCTGTTAAAAAGGGTCCTGGGAGGGGCCGATCAAGGAACAGGAGCTGGTTTAAAGATGAGGAGTATGGACGTGTATGTTTGTAATAGATGTGTACAGTTTGAGGAAGAAGAGTTTAAGATTTGCTCTTGATTGGAGGTCCCTTCATCACCTTTGCTCTCCTCGTGCCTGGGGCCACTCTTCGTCTCACCTGCAGGGAGATCAGGATCCACTCAGGTACTGTTAGAAAGAGGGGTAGGGGATGGAGATGGAAGTTACTGACTAGTGATGAGGGAAGGTTTCAGAGATAGGAGGGCTGGTGCCGAGCCTTGAGGGAGGATGAGGGTCCCTGGGCCCTTCCCGCTAGCCAGACCTTCTTCCCTCCCAGGTACGTGGAGCTGGTCAATGCCGCCTGCAACTTTGAGCCGCATGAGAGCTTCTTCAGCCTTTTCTCTGACCCCCGAAGCACCCGCCTCACCCGGATCCATCTCCGAGAGGACCTGGTGCAGGACCAGGACCTGGAGGCCATCCGCAAGCAGGTGAGACCTGCGTCACCAGCTAGTGGGGATGGGCATGGGGAGGCCAGCCTGAGGCAGTCAGTGAGTCCGGGGCCGGGGCGCTTGCCTCCAACACAAGAATTGGGCGCTCCCCTACCTTGTGCATGCCCTAATGCGAGCCCACCTGTGGTCTGGGGCCAGGCCTGGAGGGTGGGGAGAGGCTGTGGCAATTACAGAGCTGTGCCTGCTGCTAGGACCTGGTAGAGCTGTACTTGACCAACTGCGAGAAGCTATCCGCCAAGAGTCTGCAGACGCTGAGGAGCTTTAGCCACACCCTGGTGTCCTTGAGCCTCTTCGGCTGTGCAAACATTTTCTACGAGGAGGAGAACCCAGGGGGCTGTGAAGACGAGTGCCTCGTCAACCCCACCTGCCAGGTGCTGGTCAAGGACTTTACCTTTGAGGGCTTCAGCCGCCTACGCTTCCTCAACTTGGGCCGCATGATCGATGGGGTCCCTGTGGAGTCCCTGCTACGGCCACTTAACTCCCTGGCTGCCTTGGACCTCTCGGGCATCCAGACGAGCGATGCGGCCTTCCTGACCCAGTGGAAAGACAGCCTGGTGTCCCTTGTACTCTACAACATGGACCTGTCAGACGACCACATCCGGGTCATCGTCCAGCTGCACAAGCTGCGGTGAGCTGCTGGCCCAGAGCTCACTGGGGTAGGGGTGGAGAGGTGGGGGTTGGCAGTCCCAGGAGGCTTGGGAGCCCCTGGCTGGGCAGGAGTGGGCTTGGAAGATGCAGTCCCCTTTCTTAAACCCAGTGTTTTGGCTGCATCAAGGCTGTTCAGGGCCTTAGGGTGCCAGCAGGTTCTCCCCCAGAATGCCCTGGAGCAGTTGTGGCATGGGCTGAAGGAGCAAGGGTCTCTGAGGCAGCCCCAACCTGTGTCCAGCTCCTGACCTGTGACCCCCACTCCAATCTCCAGACACCTGGACATCTCCCGAGACCGCCTCTCCAGCTACTACAAGTTCAAGCTGACTCGCAAGGTGCTGAGCCTCTTTGTGCAAAAGCTGGGGAACCTGATGTCCCTGGACATCTCTGGCCACATGATCCTGGAGAACTGCAGCATCTCTAAGATGGACGAAGAGGCAGGGCAGACTAGGTGGGGACCCACCCGCCATGGTTGCCAGCAGGGTGCCAACAAGCATCCCTATGCCAGGTCCTATGCTGGGTGCTGGAGATAAAGAAATGAATCAGGCCCTGCTCTTTTGAGTCTGTATGAACTAGTAGGGACAGAGGAGCCATTATTAGGACCACAGTAGGGGAGGCACAGGGCTGTGGGGTTGCCCTGAGGATCAGGATGGAGGAAGGAGGAATGACATCCAAGCTGTCCTGAAAGCTCCTGAGTTTGCCAGAGGGAAGGTATCCCAGCAGAAGGAACAGCATACACAAAGGCTGGAAGGTACAAGCTTGAGGAGTGACCAGGAAATTAGGATGCTCAGACTGGCTCGAGATGGGTGGTGATTGGATGGGCCAGCAGTATCTGCCATGTATTAGGTTTCATAGCAGATAGGTTGAATCCTGGCTTGTTTGGTTGAGAGATCTGATTTAAACCCATCCAGCTATAATTGGCTATAAGCCCTACCCCCAGCCATACTTTCGCAGGGTTTGGTTGATTGGTGTGTCTCTTCATGATTGTTGGTAGAACTTTACATAAAGGTAATAATACATCCTCACTAGAATGGTACATAGTATTCTCCAAAGATGGCTGCAACAATATCTCCCATCCCACATGTTATACAATGTGACCTTGCTACCCTTCCATCAGGAGGTGTGGATCTATGTCCTCTGTCCTTAAAAAGCAGGAAAAAAAAAAAAAAGATAAGGCAGGAAGGCCTAGAAGAGGGCCCCAAGTAAATGCTTAGTTACCCCCAAGGAGAAGCTCTCCTAAACCCAGGGCAGCCCAGTCCATACGCCACTGACCCTGACACCCTCTTCCCCCAGCATTGAGCCTTCCAAGAGCAGCATCATGCCTTTCCGGGCCCTGAAGAGGCCACTGCAGTTCCTAGGGCTCTTCGAGACCTCTCTGTGCCGCCTCACACACATTCCCGCCTACAAAGTGAGAAAGGGAGTCGGGGAGGGGAGGAATAGGGAGCCCTGGGACCAGGGAAGGGGGCGGGATGGGGGCCCCAAGGTGTCTGCCCTGGACCTAGAGATGGAGCTGGCATCTGGGGATCCCCCAGTTAGCTTCTTCCGGGTGGTTTTGAGCATGTTCCATTTCCAGGTAAGTGGTGACAAAAACGAGGAGCAGGTGCTGAATGCCATAGAGGCCTATACGGAGCACAGGCCTGAGATTACCTCACGGGCCATCAACCTACTTTTTGACATCGCGCGTATCGAACGCTGCAACCAGCTTCTTCGGGCCTTGAAGGTCAGCCTCAACCCTGGGGGTCCTCAGTCTCCTGTCCATCCCTACTTGGCAGGTGTTAGACTTGGTTGAGCTGCGTGCCCAGAGCCCCCATCTCTTCTCTGCACCTCTTCCCCAGGACAGGAGCAGTCCTACCCCCCTGAACCCCAGGCCTGCAGGGCCTAACTTATTCCAGCACTGTCTTTTTCCCAGAACTGTGACCCTGCCCTAGTCTCTGCCCCCAGCCCTCAGTTCTGCTCTCAGAGAACAGGATTGGGGAAAGCTGTACCCCAGAGGACCTCTCCAGGCCCCCTTGCAGAGCCCTAGGCCTGGCCTTGCACAACTCTAACAGGACTTGCCAACCCAGGCCTACCCTGTCTTCATATAGCTGGTCATCACAGCCCTCAAGTGCCACAAGTATGACAAGAACATCCAAGTCACAGGCAGTGCTGCCCTCTTCTACCTGACCAATTCCGAGTACCGCTCAGAGCAGAGCATCAAGCTGCGCCGACAGGTCATCCAGGTGGTGCTGAATGGCATGGAATCCTACCAGGAGGTGACGGTGAGCCCCCTGCCCACTATGGCCCTGCATGCTCTGGCCCAGCCACCCCTCCTCCTGTTCACCCTGTGTCCCAGACTCACAAACCTAGTCCCTCATGAGGCCATGCTTGTTCGAACCCTTTTTTGCATGGCTCTGTACTGCCCCCCACCCCCACCCCTCTTACCCACTGCACACTCCCAGACTCTGGGACCTGACATTCAAGACCCTGTAAGCTGGCCCCACCTGACCAGTCCCCACCTGACCAGTCCCCACCTGACCAGTCCATTACCCACTGCCACCCTCCACTCAGGGACCCTGTTCTGCCTCAGGCCTCTGCTCAGGCTGACTCCTCAGCCCTTCTGCCCAGTAATGCTCTGCTGGGTGGGGGATTGTTTTCCAATAGCTGATTTTATTATAAAAGTGACAAAAATTTTTACCTTAGAAAATTTATAATTACATATATAAAGAAAAAAAAAACAATCCCGCCACCCAGAGATAGCCACTATTGATGTTGGATACCTGTTGTTCTGGATTTAGCCTGTGCATGTTTATTTAGTAGATGGGGTCATTCTGCACTTACTGTATGCATAACATAGATTTTTATTTCATCAGTGTCTTATGACTGTGAACATCTCCCATTTCACAAACGTTTTTACAACAGAATTTTTAAAATAATATTTATTTTCTATTTTCAAAAGTAAGACACCTAATGCTGAGAAGACAAATTCAAGTACCATTGACCCTTGAACCACATGAGTTTCAACCGTGCGGGGTCCACTTAGATGCAGATTTTTTTTTTTTAAGATTTTATTTATTTATGTATTTGATAGGCAGGGGGAGAAAGAGCAGGGGAAGGAGCGAGGAAAGGGACAAGTGGACTCCATGCTGAGCACAGAGCCAGGGAGCCCAACGCAGGGCTCATCCCTAGATACCTGAGATTATGACCTGAGCAGAAATCAAGAGTCAGACGCTCAACCAACTGAGCCACCAAGGCTCCACCTGAAAAAAAAAAAAAAGATTTATTTATTTACTTGAGAGAAATCAAGCAGGAGCAGGGGGAGGGGCATAGGAAGAGAGTGTAAGAAACTCTCAGGCAGGCTCTGCCCAGCACAGAGTCCCATGCAGAGCTCTTGATCTCATGACCCTGAGATCATGACCAGAACTAAAATCGAGTTGGATGCTTAACCAACAGCCACCCAGGTGCCCCTGGATGCAGATTTTATTTGACAAATACAGTACAATGCCAGTGTATTTTCTCTTCCTTATGATTTTTCTCACATTTTCTTTATTTTAGCTTACTTTATTATAAGACATGTACATGATACATCCAATACACAAAATACGCTAATTGGCCATTGATGCTTATCAGTAAGGGTTTCTTGAAGTCCACAGTAGGCTATTAGTGGTGAAGTTTTGGGGGGAGTCAGAAGTTACAAGCGGATTTTCAGCTGCAAGGGAGTGGGTGGGGAGGAGGCCAGTGCCCCAACTGTCAGGTTGTTCGAGGGTCAACCGTAATATGAAAATGTGTTAACTACAGAGTAAGAGTTGTTCACAGTCCAGCTCGCCTCCCCCTCACAGCTGGATCTAACCATTGTTTTCTAGTTGTTGCTGTCAGCAGAGTGTTCAGTATCCTCACCCAGGGAAGGCCGCTCTGGTGCCAACTGTGCGCTAGAGCTGGGAGGCAGTGGCCAAGCCCTATCCCCATAGGCCCAGGCTCCGGTTACTGAATCACCCTGGGTGGTTGAATATTTAGGTTACTTTCTTATTATTTGCCATTTCAAATAAGGTTTTGCTGACTATACTCCATTGATTATCCTTCAACTGCATGACTAAAAGTGGAATTGCCCGAGCAATGAATGGATAGGTGTATTTTTAAAGCATTTGGGATGTATTCTCAAATTAACCTCCAGCAAGGCTTTGGTAGAGATATATAGCCTCTGCAAGGATGAGAAGACCTGCTTTTCCAATGCCTCTAAACTCCAGGGTTTAGAGCAGCTATTTTCTACGTTGAGATTGATTTTATAACCAGGAAAAAGGGGTGTCTTTTTTGGGGAAAAAATGCTAGTTGAAGACTCCCAAACAAAATAATAAACTCTATCAGGGGCGCCTGGGTGGCTCAGTGGTTGAGCATCTGCCTTGGGTTCAAGTCATGATCCCAGGGGTCCTGGGATCGAGTCCTGCATTGGGCTCCCCGCAGGGAGCCTGCTTCTCCTTCTCCCTCCACCTGTGTCTCTGCCTCTCTCTCTCTCTCTGTGTCTCTCATGAATAAATAAATAAAATCTTTAAACCCTATCAAAGAAATGGAAATTAAAATAATGATATATCACATTTCAAGAGACCAATGATCCCCAATATTGACGGGAGTCTGTAGAGAGCACTTTTGCCTACTTCCCACTGGTAAGGTATGAACAACTGGCAGAATTTGCCAAAACTGTAAATGCATTTATCTTTGGGCCTATGTATTCCACAATTCAAATGTTTTTAGAGGAAAAATATATAATACATCCACCTTTTTAAATTAAAGAAAATTAGAGAAAACCAGAATGTTTTAGCAATAGGGACCTGGAAAAGTAACATACAATCCATCCACACAGTGTGAAAAAAATGTCCACTGCATATTGATAAGTGAAAAGTTTTGGACCAATATATATAATATCTTTTTTTTCCGTCTCCTCTCCCCCAAGTATATATTTGCATGTGCATAATAGAAAAATCTAGAAGAATGTGCACCAAACTTTTAACAGCCATTACTTCTAGGGAATAAAGTGAGAGACTTTAACTTTTCACTCAAATACTACTACTTGAAATTTTATAGTGAGTAAGTATTAGCTCTTGTAATTTAAAATACATTTTTTCCTCAAATTAAAATATATATATATATTTGGGGAAAAAAGAGATAACTAAGGGTGATACATCTCTAAATTACATAATTAGGGATGCCTGGGTGGCTCAGCGGTTGAGCGCCTCCCTTCTGCCCAGGGCATGATCCTGGAGTTGCGGAATTGAGTCCCACATCAGGCTCCCAGCATGGAGCCTGCTTCTCCCTCTGCCTGTGTCTCTGCCTCTCTCTCTCTGTGTCTCTCATGAATAAATAAATAAATAATTTTTTTAAAGAAATAAATAAATTATAAATTATGTAATTAATAAAATACAATGATCTCCCCAAATCTAACAAGAAAGGATGGAAAGAAATTAAATTACAGGCAAATGCTCCGAGAATACTTGAAAAAAAATTTAAAAGCCCACAGACAACACCTAGGTGGCTCATCGGTTGAGCACCTGCCTTCAGCCCAGGGTGTGATCCTGGAGACCCGGGGTCGAGTCCCACATAGGGCTCCCTGTGTAGAGCCTGCTTCTCCCTCTGCCTGTGTCTCTGCCTGTCTCTCTGTGTCTCTCATATATAAAATCTTTAAAAAAATTAAGTGGCTATTAGGTCTTGGATGATTTTTTTTTTAAAAAAAAGGAAAGAAATCAAAGATGTCCAGCCGTGTTAGGCCTCCTACTCTGCCACTGGGACTGTAAACTGGTACAGCCACTTTGGCGAACAGTCTGGAGTCATGGTCAAGTTGAAGACATGCACGCCATGTGACCCAGAAGCCCATGTGCATGGACACCAGGATGTATGCACGAGACATTGAAGTTGCCAAACACGGAAGCCCCCTCAGATGTCCATCAACAACAGGATGGATGAATAAATTGAAGCACCTTAATGCAGTGCCAAAATGAATGCTCTTCAGCTATTCAGAACAACATAGTTGATCTTGCAAACCTATGGTTGAACAACAATAAGCAAGATTCTAAAGAATCTTTCATACAGAATAGCAGGGAGAGTAGTTCTCTATAGTGGAAGATGGGCTGATGATGACTAGGAGGGGACCTATGGGGACTTCCAGGTGCTGGCAGTATTCTATTTTCCTGACCCAGGTAGTGGTTACCTGGTTGCTGAAAAGCTTGTTAGTGTCATAAATGCTCATAAAACTACACATTTGTGTTCTATGCCCTCTTATGTATGAAGATTATATTTCACTCTTTTTTTAATGTTAAAAAAAAAAAGCCTTGGAGTCTCCTCTTCCAGAAAGCCTTCCTAGACCACCACAGTTCTGGGTGATCTCACATGCCTTGAGAGGACCCCATAAAGCCCAGCTCCCAGTCTGACCCTGACTGCTTCACTTGTGTCCCGGTCCAGGTCCAGCGGAACTGCTGCCTGACCCTCTGTAACTTCAGCATACCCGAGGAGCTGGAGTTCCAGTACCGCCGGGTCAACGAGCTCCTGCTAAGCATCCTCAACCCCACGCGGCAGGATGAATCCATCCAGCGCATCGCTGTGCACCTGTGCAATGCCCTGGTCTGCCAGGTGGACAATGACCACAAGGAGGCTGTGGGGAAGATGGGCTTTGTCGTGGTGCGTGCCCTCGGGCTGCCCTGCCTCCCCTTTCTCCCTCCCTCCTAGCCAGCCTTTTCCAGAGCCCTCTACTGCATGCTGGATTTAGGCTAGACCAAAGAAAGACTCTCCTCACCTTGAACCTGATTTATGTCCCTAGAGATTTGCTCTGCCTAGAGCACACTGGCACCTTCTCCTGGCCACTCCAGCTGCCCATTGGGTCTCCCACCATCCAAGCCACTCCTGGCTCCTCAGACCAGGTCCCCTGTTAGGTCTTTCTCACTAAGTGTCTGTTTAATATTGGCCTCCCCAGTGGGTTGTGAGTTCTGGAGGGAAAGACACCATCCTTGTTCCTTCTCCCGTCACACCATCCCCAGCACTTCCTAGTGTGCGGCCTAGGATGCACAGTGGAGAGGTAAGTATTTGCTGAAGAACAGAAGGAAAGAATGAGGAAGGAGTATCTAGCCTCCTCCTTTTACTTTGTCACTGGACAGGCTGGAACCCACGGAGGGGGGGGCGGCCCAGACCCAAAGCTACACGGGGAACCAGGGTGCAGCTGGGACTAGCACCCAGGCCTTCAGATGCTAGGGACCAAGTCTATGTGGTTTGTACCTCTTCAAACAGCTCCCCCAGACCAGATAAGGCAGATTTGGTCTCATCAGGATGCATTAGCCAGGAGTAGAAGTGCTGACTCTCCTCTTTCCATCTTGATTCTAGGGGGACACAGTAGCTCTTGAGCCAAGCCCTGCCTGTGTCCCCATTCCCCCCAGCAAGTTTTCTTCTTTGCCCACAGACCATGCTGAAGCTGATTCAGAAGAAGCTGCTGGACAAGATAGTAAGTCAAGTCTTCATGAAGCCACTCTGCCCTTCCCTAGCCTGAGAAGGGGTGGTTTGCCCCTGGAGGATACCCATATTTTGTCAGGGGATGCCCTCATGGGTGCCAGGGGCCTGCACGGCCCTCCAGGTGAACCATGCTGAGCACCCCCTCCCTTCAGTGTGACCAGGTGATGGAGTTCTCCTGGAGTGCCCTGTGGAACATCACAGACGAGACACCTGACAACTGCGAGATGTTCCTCAATTTCAATGGCATGAAGCTATTCCTGGACTGCCTGAAGGTACTGCCCATCTCCAGTGGCAGCAGCCTCCTTAACCACCCACATGGCCACTCTTCTGTCCCTAGGCATCCTACCAGCCAGATCTATCAGCAACCCCTCTCCCCCTGGTTCCCACAGAAGGGTGGCAGGGGCCGACTTACAGGCCCACACACCCTTAGAGCCCTCCCTCCAAGGGAAAACCCGGTCCCATCATTCTCTGCACCAATTTCTCAGACTGCCCACAGTCTGGCTGGGGTCCACTGGACAGCATTGTGACCAGTAGGACAGTCTTTTAAAACTCATCCTTGGGGCACCTGCCTGGCTCAGTTGGTAGAACATGTGACTCTTGATCTCAGGGTTGTGAGTTCAAGCCCCACATTGGGCATAGAGCTTACTTTTTAAAAAAATAAGTAGTAGCAATTCTAAAAATAAATAAAACTTGTTTTCTTACTTTAGTTTTTATAAATTTTCCCTTAAACTAATATTTTGAGTTTTTGGCAAATAGAACCACATTTGTCCTAGTTGGAAGTTTATAGGTCAGATCTCGACTCAGCCTTTGATTTTGTAGCAAGGAGTCCTCACCATTTTAAGACATATGGTATAGGGGATCCCTGGGTGGCTTAGTGGTTTGGCGCCTGCCTTTGGCCCAGGGCGCGGAGTCCGTGTCGGGCTCCTGGCATGGAGCCTGCTTCTATCTCTGCCTGTGTCTCTGCCTCTCTCTCTCTCTCTATGTCTATCATGAATAAATAAACCTTTAAAAAAAATCCATACGGTATATACTCAGTGCTGTACTAGGTACACTAGAAGGTATGAGGGCAGGCTGTTGCTCCCCCTCTTTGTCTGGTTGGAATGGCCAGATACCCATAAGGTTTCTAGGTTAACAATACCAGAACTTCAAAACAAAAATCAAACCAGACACTAAGTGCTAATTGAAGTGGCCCCATTGGCTCTCATTTTGCCAGGAATTCCCAGAGAAGCAGGAACTGCATCGGAATATGCTAGGACTCTTGGGGAATGTGGCAGAGGTGAAGGAGCTGCGGCCTCAGCTAATGACTTCCCAATTTATCAGTGTCTTCAGGTGGGTATTTCCTTTCTCTTTTTGCCTTGGCTGCCAGGATGTTCAGGGCTCTGGTCTGTGTTAAGCTGCAGCAACTGCTCTCTGCCTAAGTTTCTGTTAGAAATGTCCCCTTGCATCCAAGTCCCTGCTCCGCTGTGTTGAGTATACTTGGACCCAAGCTCGAGCTTGTAAATAAACCCTCGTGTGTTTGCAAAAAAAAAAAAAAAAAAGAAAAGAAATGTCCCCTTGCGTCTACATGTGGTTTCTTTCAAGCCTCCATAAATGATCCTCTTGTAGCTGTGTCTTCAGCGACCTCAGATCTTTAGAAGTCACTTGGGTATGGATAATAGAGAAATCAGTGATACCTCTGGCATCTGGTCTATAAGCTGGGGTCCAGCAGCTGGGGTCTGAAGAGGGACTTGGAGGGATTTTTCTCTCTTCTTGGCAGCAACCTGCTGGAGAGCAAGGCTGATGGGATCGAGGTTTCCTATAACGCCTGCGGCGTCCTCTCCCACATCATGTTTGATGGGCCTGAGGCGTGGGGCATCTGTGAGCCCCAGCGAGAGGAGGTGGAGGAGCGCATGTGGGCAGCCATCCAGAGCTGGGATGTCAACTCTCGGAGAAACATCAATTACAGGTGCGGGGTGGTGTGTGGGCAGGGTCCATGGGGAGACAGGTCGCTCATGCCCAACAAGGCCTGGGGAGAGCCTCCTGCCTTCCTTCTAGTCCCCTTTTCAGCTCTCGCTGAGGCACAAAGCTCACGCACAGCACACAGCACACATCTTACCCATAAGGCTGGGCACGTCTTTCACACACATCAACACCTGTGTGGATGCAAAGTTTGCCATTGACAAACATTTGAGACGTGTTTACCTGTAGGAAGAAAGAAGAGGAAAATACAAACACACTCTAGGAGACAAAACAGAAACCACTCATGAGCTCGTTCCCGGAAAGAATCTCTGCTCACACACAGTCTGGTGCCTCCCCTCCCAGCAGTTTCCCTCTACTCTGATTTAATTGTTTGCAATGCAGCTAGTGTCAGGTCTTCTAGGGCATGGGTCTCTCTCCTTGTTCTATGACTGGGTCACTTTCTGGGTGCGGATGAGCCATCTTGTCCTGATTGACATTGACATTGAAAACCCATATTGGGAGGATTGGACCCGTGTGGCTTTGCTGATGCTCTGGTGACAGCTGTTCCCAAGGAAATGTGAAGGGGAATCACTGGCCCGGGGCTTTGCACGTACATTTTTCAGGCTCAGACCATGACTCCAGGTGGCCTGCAAAGGCCATTATAAGAAGTACAGTCACACTTCTGTTTCTCAGGGTACTTCTCACTGTCTCCCCAAGAATGGGTCTCTCGTCCTTGCCGAGCTCCTCTATTTCTACACTACCTGATCTATGTCCCTCCTACCTCCCTTACATGCCCATGCTCCTGACCTCTCTCACTAGCAAGCTCCCTCTGTGGAGCCTGAAGGCCAGATGCCTCTGCCTCTGCTGCATTCTACTAACCTGCTCATGGGTGGCCTGTGGAACCCTCCAGGGAGGAGAGCCCTCCAACAGGAGAAGGTGCACTCCCCCACCCCCTGGCATTAGAAGTGACTTTGGTCTCTCTTTCTACAGGTCCTTTGAGCCAATTCTTCGCCTCCTTCCCCAGGGCATCTCCCCTGTCAGCCAGCACTGGGCCACCTGGGCCCTGTACAACCTTGTGTCTGTCTACCGTGAGTACACACTTGCCCTTTGTTCAGACACAGGGATCCTCACCTGGTTGCAAGCCAACTTGTCCTCAGGGAGCTCATAACCCGGGTGAGGAGTTCTAAGAGAGGTGGCCCCGGTGTCTGTGCCGAGGAGCACAGCCCTCCCCTTTCCAGCATCTGTGGCATGTCCAGCATAATGGTGGGGCCTGCCTCATCACCAGAAGCAAGCCTAGCAGGCCAGACGGCCCATCCAGAGTTCCCAGACAGCTTTCTTAATGCCGCCTGCTTCCACATAAGTGAATAGTCAAAAATCTCCAGGCCTTCTGGAAGACAGAGTAAGACCAACTCAAAGAACTAACCCCTGAGGAAACAGACTTCCAAGGGAACAGGAGAGGACTTTAAAACAATTCTAACTTTTTTTTTTTAAGATTTTATTTATTTATTCGTGAGACACAGAGAGAGAGGCAGAGACACAGGCAGAGAGAGAAGCAGGTTTCCCGCAGGGAGCCTGATGCAAAACTCCATCCCAGGACTCCAGGATCACACCCTGAGCTGGGTCAGACACTCAACCACCGAGCCACCCAGGCATCCCCAATTCTAACTTTATTCCTCAAAGAGCATCCCATCCTCCCATAGAAGAGCCTGAACCATCCTCTGCCAAGTGGCTCTGGCAGGGAGAGAAAGAAGGTAGAGCACCAGGAGAGCTTGATGGCAGGACAGGTTTGACCATCGTTCTCTCTCCTCCTGGTTATGTGAGGTTATTTAACCTCTCTGGGCCTCAGTTTCCTCCATAGAATGGGGACAGGATTAAGGCCTACCTCATAAGATTGATGTGAAAAGAGAACCAGCATAAAGCGCCCAGCCTGGGGCCTGGATCCTGCTCAGTCCCCTTAACTGGCAGAGTGAATCAGAGTGCGGGCTCTGGGGCCAGATACCTGGCTTCGAATTATGGCTCTCCCACTTGTTGTGTTACTTTGAGCAGGTTTCTCAACCTCTCTGTGCCTCAATTTCCTCATCTTTAAAATGGGATAAAAATAGGATTTCTGTCAAATAAGGTATGTAAAGTGATTGGAACAGTGCTTGACCCATACAAACTCTTCAATAAGCATTACCCTTTTTCATTACTACTTGAGGTTAGTGTTACCAAACTACCAGCACCAGACCTCAGAGAGGCACTGTTGTAGTATAGACAAAAGAGCCCTGAGCTGAGACTCCTTTGGAGAAGCACCCAGAATGACTTTGGATGAATTGCTTCATCCCTTTGAACCTCAGTTCTTTCATCTGTAAAATGGAGAGCATAAAAGTAGCTCTGACTACATAGGGGCAGGGGTGGTGGTGTTCCACTGAAATGCCCATGTTCTCCATGGAGCATAAAGCCCTGGATCCTGAGCACTAGAATGTGCTTTATTGGTGTGAACCGTAAACCACCCAATAATAGGAAGGAATGCTGGTTCCAACCTGGCTGGCCACCAGAATCACCTTGTAGTATATTGTTAAAAATACAGGGCAGCCCCAGTGGCCCAGAGGTTTAGCACCGCCTTCAGCCCGGGGTGTGATCCTGGAGACCCAGGATCGAGTCCCACGTCGGGCTCCCTGCACGGAGCCTGCTTCTCCCTCTGCCTGTGTCTCTCTCTCTCTTTCTGTCATAAATAAATAAATAAAATTAAAAAAAAATAAATACAGGTTCCTGGGTCTGTTGATTCAGAATACTCGAGGGTAGGGCTTGGGAATCTGTATTTTTACAAAAACTTCTCAGGATAGAAGCCACTAGTTTGGGTGTTACTTCCCTTGGGGTGAGCTATGGAAAGAAAGAAACGTGGCTGCGTCCCAAAGTAGCCTTTTTCAAGAACTCACCCCTTGTTCCCCCAGTGGACCCAAGAATCCCAGCCCATGGGGCTGGGCAGACAGACGGTTCCCTGGTGCAGCAGCGCCTTCACTGCCCTCCCCCAGGCCTGTGTATCCACCCCCCTACTCCCTTCTCCTCACCCCCACACACCCCCACCCCAGGGCATCCTTCGCAGCAAGGGTGGGTTCTGGCCCACAGGCTGCTGGAAGACCAGCCTGATCCCCTGTCTGCCCCTCCCTGCAGCGGACAAGTACTGCCCCCTGCTGATCAAAGAAGGGGGGCTGCCCCTGCTGAGGGACATGATCAAAATGGCAACTGCTCGGCAGGAGACGAAGGAAATGGCCCGGTAAGAGACAGCCAGTTTTTCTGCTTGCAGCCTCAGTGTGGGGGAGTGGGGGCCACTTGGGCAACTCAGGGTGGAGTGTGGAGGTGGATAGTGTACTGCTTTCCAGCAGGGGCCTCCCTCAGTGTCATTCGGCCACAGTGTGGCCAGAAACTAGCTCACCCAGCTCCATGAGGAGCATCACTGCCCTCCTGTAAACTTCGTTTTCTCTTACTCCCAATGAATTCCATCCTCTCCCCCTGGCCCTTACTAAGTCAGGTCAAAATTCATCATTTTTGGCCAAAGACCTTCCAAAGAAAGAGAATACTGTGTGATAAAGTATATTCTAGAGAACTGGCGGGTGAAGGCAAATGGGTTTGCACACGGCAGAGTTGCCAGGGCCAGCTGCTATGCGGTTTCACTCCCGTGCCTGAAACCCCATCATCCCTGATCTCGCACCAGTCCGGGTATGAGCGATTCTCAGGAATGCCGCATGTGGCATCAGCAGTAACAACCTTGCTTCCTCCAGGATCCATTCCAGAAGGGAGCACAGTTACATTGACCCCAGTTCTGAGCCCGGTGTAGAATCAGGAGTATCAGGAGCAGGGATCTGGGACTCAGAAGCACCCAAACAGAGACTCACTGGGCTGTGCAGCATCTGCCGTTTCTGCAGTTCCTTTAGCAAAAGGCGCTTCATAAACAATAATTGACAGATTCCTCTCAGTTTGAGAATGGTAAAATGAATGGTTCTCAAATGTAATCTCCCTGAAGAATCACCTGAAAAGATGTTAAAAATGCACAGGCCCATCCTAGATTTTCTTTCCCAGTAGATCTGGGATTGGGGCCTGGGAATATTCATTATCAACAGGGATCCCAGGAGATTTGAGAAGCTGGGTAAGACTGACCCGTAACCTACTCCAGTTCCTCTGAACATCTCTGTAAGACCTGAGACATGTATCCCAGCTGGCCAACTTTTCTGAAGGAGGTTGTGACACCAAGGGGAGCTCAGAAGTCATTCCGCCCATCCCACTCCTGTACCACTCTGGGCACCCCTTACTTCCTAAAAGGCAGTAGGCACCTCTTTAGCACATGGAGGCTGCAGTGAACACCACTCCTACCTCCAACCAACCCAAAGGTATAGCGTTGAGCCGGAAGGCCATCCAAGGTCCCAGGTGATATCTAACTGCAGTAGGGCAGTGGTTCTCAAGGGTCAGTCTGGAGGGGGCACAAGACTGCGGCTCTGAGCACCAGTGGTGGTTCCCAAGACCATGATGCTGGGCCTGGCCTGGCCGCGTGGAGGATGTCAGGAGCCCTATTGCTGGCATGGCTGCCCCAGCCCCACCCGGACCTCCTCGAGATTGGGATCGCTGGGCAAATCTGACATGCAGGCAGTTTGGAGATCACTAGTAGGCTGCCTGGGTAGGTAGGGGGAAAGTGAAGAAAGCAGGTGGTGCTCAAGAAAGGAGCAGAGAGGGTTGTAAAGGTCAAGCCTGAGCCATTTCAGGGGAGCCCCTAGCCAGAGAGGCCCTGGGGCTGAGAGGTAAGGAAGGGGGTCCCAGGGAGGAAGGAGGGGAGCACAGGGGCCTGATAGTATTGGTGGCCACAGGTGCCATTTCCTAGGCACTGGGCAGGAATCTCTTCAGTCAGTGTCAGCATTACTGTGGACATTGTTAGCAAACCCATTGGCCTCATCAGCCAGGAGGGGCCAGGCCCACCCGACCCAAGACTGCCCTCTAATCCTCTCTCTCCTGTGGTCTCCAGCAAGGTGATTGAGCACTGCAGTAACTTTAAAGAGGAGAACATGGACACGTCCAGATAGAGGCCTCCGCCCCTACGGCCACCACGGCTCTGGACCACAAGGCCAGGAGGAAGCTCTCAAGCAGCCCAGCTGGCAGACCCCCACCGGGGAGCCTCCCGCTGGATGAAGGGACACAGGGGGACTTTTGCACAACCGACGCTTTTCCTTAACATTAGTGAGATATATATATATATTATATATATATATATTATATATATATATATATATAATTTTTTTTTGGTTAGGAAGTGTGAAGTTTTGTGTGTATGATTTCTGTACAAAAACAAAAGAAACACTCCTTGAGTCCCCGCAGCTTCCTCGGCCACCTCAATCCCCAACTCCAAGCCTTCATTGCTGCCACTCACTCCTACTCCCCTCAGACTAAATGCCTCTAACGTTGTGAGTCTGGTCCTTTCCCAGTGACCTCAGACCCTGGCCTCGCTTCCCATTAGGAGAGGCAGAGGGCTTTTGACAGCCCACTCCAGCACCCCAACCCACCCGTCAAAGCCTGAGAACCCCATCTGGGCTCCTGGGTATGGCCGATGGGGTTTGGGATGAAAACCAGCCCCACTGGGCCTCCTGAATGCCTTGGTGCTCCCAGCCACGGGCCATCTGGGGCAAGGAAGTGAGTGCCCAGGCCCAGGCAGCCCCAGCCCCAGAGGACCCTCAGGAGCGGGGCTCCCAGGGGCCCCGCCGTTCTCTGGTCAGGCCTGCCTGAGGCCACGCTGCTATGGAGGCTGCCTCCTGGTCTCCCACCAGGTCCCAGGCTACTGAAGGCCCCAGCCCAGGGCTGGTCAGAACTCAGGCAGATTCCACTGCCCCTTCTGCCAAACATATTCAGCACCCACCCCGGCCCTGGAAGCCAGCACCGCCAGGGCCAGGGGCTTGTTCCTCACTCCCCAGCCCTTCCCCTGCCCGCAGCACCCATGGTGCCCCAGCACCCCACCAGCAGAACTGAGCCGGCCTCATTTGCCATGCCCCCTCACCTTCCCCGCTGCCCGGAGGACCCCACACTTCTCTCAGGCAGGAGGTCCCCACTCCAGCTGGACCCGCAGCAACAGGCAGCTGCCTCCAGACCAGCACTGGGCACAGCCTGCAGTGGCCCCACGTGGCCCTTCTGAGCCCCTATTCCCTGCCCCCAGGCTTTACCTTGGGAACCTCTGTGCTGTGTTTCAGAGAAGTATGAGCTACAAATGTATCTTGAAATATCTTGTGGTCCTCCCTTGATGTAACTCCGAATTGCTTCTCTGGAGACAGGCAGTGGTGAGGAGGCCCCTCCAGAACAAGGCACTGGGGAAGCAAGGCCGACTCTGCAGGCACCCCCTCGGGGATGACCTCTCTTCCTTCTTCTTTCCCTGGGCCTGCTTTTGGACTCTCCTGGCATTTCTGCCTCGTGACAGAACAGGCTGGATGAGCAGTCCAAAGGAGAGACACCAGGCCTTCTCCCCTGAAGTCTGTCCCTGCCAGCCCCGGGAAGGGGGCGGCTGCCCTGTGCTTCCCAAGCTCGGCAGACAGGCCACATCTGCCCCTCCCCTCCGTGTTCACCTGGCGTGAGCCAGTGCCTGGGCAGAGCTCACATCGCGTTGCTTTACCACCTGGGGCCTGGGTAAATGTACTTTGGGATGTCACAGAAATACATTTTTGTGCAAAGTGGAAAGAGCAGTGTCTTTTTTGCAAAAGGGGTGGGGTCAGGAGAGGGGCTGGAGCCATTTCAAGTACTGGGCCTTGAAGAAGGGGACCTGCAATGGGGAGCATGCATCGGGTGGATTTGTGTGCCCAGCTTGGGGACAAGCGGCAGATGGGGCTGAAGGACCTGCCTCCCCTCATTCTCTGCACTCTCCCGTGCCCCGACACTGGGATACAGCTGCAGCAGTCCCACAGGCCACCTGCCTGGGGTGGTGCAGTCTGATGGTAGAGACAATGTTCTGTGTGAGCACGGAGCACAGAGAGAGCACCTCCTGGCGCCGGTAGGAGTAGAGTGGGGCCCTAGGAGACAGAAGTTAGTTGGACAACAGTGTTTCTGTGAGGGAAGGGCACCTTCAGCCTGGTGGTAAGAGGCATGGTGTCCCTGAGCAGGCAGGGAGGCTTCTCTTTTTTTTTTTTTTTTAATTTTTATTTATTTATGATAGTCACACAGAGAGAGAGAGAGGCAGAGACACAGGCAGAGGGAGAAGCAGGCTCCATGCACCGGGAGCCCGATGTGGGACTCGATCCCGGATCTCCAGGATCGCGCCCTGGGCCAAAGGCAGGTGCCAAACCGCTGCACCACCCAGGGATCCCAGGGAGGCTTCTCTTGAGCCGAGACCTGTGAGCAGGAGCCAGTAAAAGAAGGCTGTCAGGGGGTGCCTGAGCCACTCAGTTGCTTGAGCGTCTGACTCTTGATTTTGGCTCAGGTCATGATCTTGGGGTCGAGGGATCAAGCCCCAATGGGGAGTCTGCTTGAGATGCTCTCTCTCCCACTCCCTCTGCCCCTCCTCTCTAAAATTAATAAATAAATCTTAAAAAAAAAAAAAAGACAAAGCTTCCAGGCTGGCTATGGGTGAGCTGCGGAAAGAACACTGTCGACAGAGGGCTCAGCTAGAAGGGCTTTACAGGGAGAGCGGTTAAGCACCTCCCTGCAGCTGTAGCAGAGCAAAGGAATTAAGGCACAAGCAGGGAGAGACAGAGAAGTAGCTGGGAGGGTGGCTTTGCCCTCCAGGCTCCTGAGGTACTTCCAAGGCTGCACCCAATTGAGGAGAGCTGTTCCCCAAAGATGCCAGGTGTGTGTGCCTTGACCAAATTCTAGCCACGCTCCCCTGAGGCCTCTTCTCAACTAGGCCACAAACTTGGCCTATAAGAGCCCTACTGCGGGCTCTTACCGCAAGTGATTTTGTCCATCTCCCTCCCCTGCATTAAAACAACCACCTGGGCACCTGGGGGCCTCAGTGGTTGAGCGTCTGCCTTTGGCTCAGGGAGTGATCCCAGAGTCCCAGGATCAAGTCCTGCATCCGTTCCCCACAGGGAGCCTCCTTCTCCCTCTGCCTATGTCTTTGCCTCTCTCTCTGTGTTTCTCATGAATAAATAAAATCTTTAAAAAACAAATTTTACTGTTTGTCTTAGCCACCACCTGACCAGAGGCCCCCCCACACTACCCTGTCTCTGAGCATTTACTAGAAGGGGTTTACAGTTGTGAATCCTTCCTCTGTCCTCTAAAAATGTATTTGTGTCTCCTACAACTCAGGAGTCCCGAAAGCCATTCCTTCAAAGAGGAAGGATCCAGAAGGATCAGGCCTCTGTCTCCCAGTCCCTGTGGGAGGACAGGCACCTAACTTCAATTACTGCCAGCTGGCACACACAGCTGGTCTACTCAGCATTGCACTGACCAACCCTTGGTGATTTTTCACTTCTCTGAGACACTGCCGTTCCTTCCTGCTCCCTTTATTTATGTATTTATTAGATTTTATTTATTTATTCATGAGAGAAAGAGAAGCAGAGACAGGCAGAGGGAGAAGCAGGCTCCCTGCAGGAAGCCGGATGTGGGACTCGATCCCCACATCAGGGATCAAGCCTTAAGCGGAAGGCAGATGCTCAACGGCTGAACCACCGAGGCGTCCCTCCTGCTCCCTTTAAAACATCCATTCAGGGACGCCCAGGTGGCTCAGCAGTTAAGGGTCTGCCTTCTGGCTCAGGGCATGATCCTGGGGTCCTGGGATCGAGTCCCACATCGAGCTCCCTGTGTGGAGCCTGCTTCTCCCTCTGCCTGTGTCTCTGCCTCTGTCCTCTCTGTCTCTCTCTGTGTCTCTCATAATAAATGAAATCTTTAAAAAAAATAAAAATAAAACATCCATTCACTTCTGTACAGATCAGAGTTGAACTCACTTTACACTGCAATAGCATATTACTGATTAGAATCTGTCCTTACCACTTTAGTGTCTGACTTTGTCTTTCAAACCAGCACAGGGCCTGACACATGGAAGCTGCAGAATGATTTAAGTGTTTCCATTCAGCATACTAAGTCACCCACGGCAGTAACCAAGACTGAGTTACAAGTGACTGAGTTACAAGTGACTGAGTTACAAGTGACTCAACTCAAATACCTACCCAGGGGATCCCTGGGTGGCGCAGCGGTTTGGCGCCTGCCTTTGGCCCAGGGCGCGATCCTGGAGATCCAGGATCGAATCCACGTCGGGCTCCCGGTGCATGGAGCCTGCTTCTCCCTCTGCCTGTGTCTCTGCCTCTCTCTCTCTCTCTATGACTATCATAAATAAATAAAAATTAAAAAAATGAATACCTTCAAATACCTACCCAGGCTAGTCAAAAGTGAGAGGGAATTCATCAAGGGAATCTAGAGGTTAACATCAGCTTCAGGAATAGCTGGATCTAGGGGCCAAGGCAATGTTACTTACACTCTTGCTCCTTCTTTCACTGCTACTTATCTCTAGAACTCTGTAAGTTGGCTTCATCCTCTCCTGCTACAGTCTCCCTCCACATAGTGTAAAAACAGTTGCCTATTGCCCTTAAATCCTATCCCTTATGCGAGAGATGTGAAATAATGCCCCTTTCTCTCTCAGCATTTATACAGTAATCTTATAGAATGATTCTGATTGGCCCTGCTGAGTTACATGTCCACCACCTAGGACCAATCACTGGAGACACTGAAAGAGAAAACCATTGAAAGAGTTTGGCCCTCTAAAGTCTTATGCCCACATCTTGTCTCCTCTTACTCTGTGGAGTGAGGGACACAGTTCCTCTAGAACCATATGGGATGGGGAAGAGTCAGTTAGTTCTCCAACAGATAAGGGGATGCTGAGCTGACAAAATAGATATCAGAAGAGTGTACTGGAGGGGACCATCTGTTGGAGAAAGAAGGTGGATGTTGATATCGTGGGAAGTGTGGGTGGAAAGGCAGTTCTGAGCGGGGAATGCCTCGGGGACACAGTTGAAGGAGTGTGAACACTGAATGATGATGAGATTTTGTCTTAGAATAGCCCGAAGCCTCTGGTGGGCAAGTCCTTCTGGCAGGGTGAGGTGTCGGCTTATAGAGGGGGAGAGGACAGTCCCATACTAGACACTGACTGTACTTGGCATTTTTTAATCCTCCCAGCCACCTTGGCAGGGGGGGATGCTATCACCAGTCTTCACTATATAGACAGAAGACAGAGGTCAGAGTGGTTCAGTAACTGGCCCAAGCTCACACAGGTAGGAGGGGGCAGAGCTGATATTTCTGACTCTGACTCCACTTGGGCCCCTGGTACCCAGGATCTGCACCACGGACGACCACTTTGCGCTCATCCGGTTTGCAGTGTCAAAAAATGAATAGCAAGGAAGTATGGGTATCACCACAGAGCAACCGCGGGCGGGTCCTGCCCCTGTAGAGACCTCAGTCGCCGCATCCTTGAAACCGGCGCAATCCCACGACCTGGAGCCACAACCAGACACCTTGAACGTGGAAGCGCCCGGGGACCTGTACGCATGCGCGAGCCAGTAACGCTGGGGAGGGCGGGGTGAGAGCCCAAGGGGGCGGGGTCGACACTCGCGCCTGCTCCCCGGCTTTCGAAAGTTACCTACCTGGCTGGTGGGGGCTGGGGCTGGGGTTGGGGGAGTTACCAGCTGCGCGCGCGCCGGCCCCGCCCTCAACCTCTTCAGGCACCTGTTGGCTCGAGGGCTTCCTCGGGCGCAGCTGCCATCCAATAGACAGCCTCCCCGACCCAGCCAGGCCCCGCCCACTCCCTGGTTCCACCAATCCTCGGGCGGCCGCGTCCCCTCTCCCTCAGAGGGCCCGCCCCCCCAGGCGCTTCTTCCGGGTGGGGCCCCGGGCCGAGGAGATGGCGCCCTGGGCGCTCCTCAGTCCTGGGGTCCTGGTGCGGACCGGGCACACTGTGCTGACCTGGGGGATCACGCTGGTGCTCTTCTTGCACGATACCGGTGAGCCGGACCCCGCGCGACCCCGGACCCACCCGATCCCGCGTGATTTCCCAGACGTTTGGGTCTCCTGCTGAAAACCCCAGAAATCCTGGGATTCACCCCATTTCCGCCAGCTCCTGAGCCTCCTCCCCATCTATCATTCCAAGAGCCACCTGTCTTCTGCCTAGTACCCAGTTCGTCCCTAATTAGTCCCAGCATCTTCCTGATCCCTGCCAGATGCCCTGTGCATCCCAGGACTCATCCCGCGCCCACCAGATCCGACGACCGACCTGAGCCCCCGTCTCCCCTGATCCCGGGACCCACCCGATCCTTCCCGGGAGCTGACACCCAACCGTCCCCCCGTAAGATTCCAAGGATCTAGTAGATCAAGGACTGGCATCCGGCCCACTTCAGGGGCCACTAGCTAACCTGGTCCAGGCTCCCTGTCCTGAACACCAAGGGGAGTGGCCATACTCACTTCTTGCCCCCAGGTTCTCATCCACCCCACTGACCCGACCCCACTAACATCTTCCCCCTCTTCTCCCCTGCCAGGCTGCCTCCAACCCAAGTTCTCAGCCACCCTCCCTGCCTGCAAGGGTAGCCCCACTCCCCTCTCCTTGCTCCAGCCTCAGCTCCTGGACTGGGGGGTGTTGTCACTTTCCTCCCACGACCTTCTCAGGCTTCTTCCACCATCTTCACCCTTCAGCCTAAAAACCTGCTCCATCTCTCCATCAAAAAGGACCCCCAACCCATCTTTCCTTCTCTGCTCCTTTTCACAATCAAGGGGCCCCAGAGTTGTCCACATTCTGTCATCTAACTGTCCTGTGCGTGCCCCTCACTCCTCACCCCCGCCCCCCCCCCCCAAATCCTGATTCACCCCCATAAGCTGGGCCTTCCCTGGCCTGGTCCTCCTCTGTCTCCGTCTCATGCACATATCAGACCTGGCTGGTCTCACCATCATGGAGCCAAGGCAGGGACCCCTCCTTCCTCTCCCCTACATCCAGTCAAGTCTGGCCCCTTCACCGCCTCACCCCTTATCTACCCATCTTTTTGTCTCCACTATTCCTGCCAGTATCCCTGTCTGGCTACCCTCCTCTCCCTCCTGGATAGGCACTCTGTCTCCAGGCTTCCCCCTGCTCCCCCATCCATCTTTTCTCCAGCAGCAGGAGGGTTTTCAGAAACAGATCTGTCCCTATAACTTTCCATGGTTCCTATTGCCCTCCAGATAAAATGCAGATGAACTTTTTTTTTTTTTTTTTTTGCTGGGCCCAGACTTCTCCCTCCTGTACCCTATGCAGTGTCCACACTTGACCACTCATTAAACCCCATCTCCAAGCCTTTGCTCAGCCAGGGACACAGTCCCCACCTCCAACTACACCTATACACAGCTTCCTCCTGTTTGGCTCTGGCCCCAGACTCACTCTCCTCCTCTGGCCTCTCCAGCGCTGCGGCAGTGGGAAGAGCAGGGAGAGCTGCTCCTACCCCTCACCTTCCTACTCCTCGTGCTGGGTTCCCTGCTGCTCTACCTGGCCGTGTCGCTCATGGACCCAGGCTATGTGAATGTCCAGCCCCAGCCCCAGGTAACTGGGGTGGGGGAGTGTGTGCCTGAACCCTCTCCCTCCCACCAACAGGACACCCAAGACTGCTGTGATGATCTCATGGCAGGATCTGTGCAGAGCGCTTTTCTGGGGGCACCTCAGTGAATCCTCTTAGCAGCCCTAGAACCCCATCCCCTACATCCGATTACCATGAGGAAATCGCCAAGGCCCAGGGAGCAGATACAAGTGGCAGAGGTCACGGGGCTTCCCTGGGACCGGAGCTCTCTGCCTCACCCTACCACTCCATTATGCAGGGGATGGGTTCCCACCCATGCATACCCAGAAATGAGCTAGTCCCCAAGGAAAACCTGTGCATCTGCCTCCCAAGGGGACCCCATCTTATGCCCCATCTCCTACTTTCAGGAGGAGGCCAAGGAGGAGCAGACAGCCATGGTTCCTCAAGCCATCCCCCTTCGGCGCTGCAGATACTGCCTGGTGCTGGTGGGTGCAGGGACCTTCACGGGAGGGCGTGGGGACTGGGCCAAGACTCCCTGACCTCCGGCCCCCGTGCCGTGGCCTCATCCAGGAAGGCCTCCGGATTGAGGCCCCAGCCTCATAACTTCATCACTTCTCTCAGTGTTGGGCCCGCAGGGGAGCTGGCATTGAGCACACCTCCCTCCCTGCCCACAGCAGCCCTTGCGGGCCCGGCACTGCCGGGAGTGCCGTCGCTGTGTGCGCCGCTACGACCACCACTGCCCCTGGATGGAGAACTGCGTGGGGGAACGCAACCACCCACTCTTCGTGGCCTACCTGGCGCTGCAGCTGGTGGTGCTTCTGTGGGGCCTGTACCTGGCATGGTGGGTTCCCCTACTGCCCTGGGTTTGGGGGAGGGCCGCAGCAATGTGCCTGCAGGGTGGAGAGAGCCAGGACTCCCTCTTCTGTCCAGGGCCTCCAACCTTCTCCCAAGAGGCCTGCCCGCCGGGGCTCCCTGGGGCCGCCCTGCCCTCCCCCAGCCTGGGTCCCCATCTCTATCCTGCCCTGCAGGTCTGGCCTCCATTTCTTCCAGCCCTGGGGGCTATGGCTGCGGTCCAGCGGGCTGTTGTTTGCCACCTTCCTGCTGCTCTCCGTCTTCTCTTTGGTGGCCAGCCTGCTCCTCGCCTCACATCTCTACCTGGTGGCCAGTAACACCACCACCTGGGAGTTCATCTCCTCGCACCGCATTGCCTACCTCCGCCAGCGCCCCAGCAACCCCTTCGACCGCGGCCTGACCCGCAACCTGGCCCACTTCTTCTGCGGATGGCCCTCAGGGTCCTGGGAGGCCCTCTGGGCCGAGGGAGAGGAGGAGGAAGAGGGCGGCAGCCAGGCTGTTTAGGGTCATGGGAGGGAAGGCCACCATCCTGTGCCTGAAAACCAAACGGGCTGCACCCAGCTGCGGTCAGCCCTCGGAAAGCCTGGGGTTCTTCACTCCTGCTCGCTCCTCCCAGGCCTCAGAGCAGAGCTGAACGACAGAACCCCTGCCTCAGTGGGCAGTTCTGCCTTCCAAAGGAAGAAGGGGAGGCAGAGGACCTGTGGGGGGCTCAGGCACCAGCAACCTGGGCTTGGAGGCCTCCCACACACCAGGATGCCTCCAGTGCACAGTTTTATAAGTTTAATAATCCATAAAGCGAGTCAAGTATTAAAAAAAATACCAAACCAAACTGCTCCTCACTGTCCTGCCCTTTCTGGTCCAGGTCTCAGTGAAGGAGGGAGCTGGGGTGGGGGTGAGGGAGGAGGGAACATTCTGCCCAGTGACCAAGCAACACCCCCCACAGCAGCCCCGCCGCTACCACCTCAAGGCCCGAGACCCACAGAGAACCTGTGAGGCCCGGGCCTCCAGAGCAGGGCAAGCAGCTGGGCGGACAGGGTGGACTCGCCAGAGAGGCCGTCAGGGCCCCAGGAATCCCTCTGACACAAAGTCGAAGTCCCGGAAGGCGGCCTGCTGGCGGGCAGTCAGGGGGCTGCGGGGGTCCGGCGGGGTCAGGGCCGGTGGCAGCCCCGTGAACTCGCCCTCGAAGTAACGCAGGTCCGTAGGGCCACACAGTGTGGGCAGGAAGGGGGGCCGGACGGTACGGGCGAGCAGGGCCTGCCAGTCGGTGGTCTGGGGGCGAGGGCAGAGCTGCCTGAGATGGCAGAACAGCAGCCCACGTGGCCCTGCGCCACCGCCCACCGTGCCAGGCACCCAGGACCACTCACCCTGAAGAAAGGCTGGGTCTTGATCTCTTCTGCATCCTGCTCACCAGCCCCCAGGCGCTGCTCCGGGCACTTTTGGAGGAGCTGGGCAAAAGGACAGAGGCCCACGGAGGGCGCTTTTGGGCCCATGCACTGCCCGCCTCCCCACGTACCCCAAGTGAGCTGGGCCACAGGGCCCCCAAGAGAATGGGTGGTGAAGGGGCAGCCTGCGAGCCACAGAGCGGCAGCCCAGCCCCACCCTGCCCCCGCCCCTGCCCCGGCAGTGATTACCTTCTGAATTAGCTCGAGACCTTGCACCGATAGAAAGTGGGGATATGGGGCATCGGCATTGACGATGCAGTCAAATACCTCCTCCTCAGTGTCCCCGGGGAATGGGCACTGCGGGGGAACAGAGCTCAGCAGGGTGCATGAGCCACCCCCACCCCGCCCCAACCTGCAGGCCCCAGCAGCCTGGGGCTGGCACTCACCTCTCCCACCAGCATCTCATAGAGCAGCACACCCAAGCCCCACCAGTCCACGGCCCGTGTGTAGGCCTCCTGGGTCAGCACTTCTGGGGCCAGGAACTCTGGGGTGCCGCAGAAGGTGCTTGTCCGGTCCCCAAAGCCGATTCCTGCAAACCAGATGCCGGCCTGCTGCATCTCATCCACATCACCTCAGTGGGTGTAAGAATGAACAGCCAACCCTTATGACCTCAGGTACCGAACCCCACACCGAGCCCTGCCCCATGCCCTCAGAGGTGGGAGCGGTTTCTTTTTTTTTAATTTTTTTTTAAAATTTTTATTTATTTATGATAGTCACACCAGAGAGAGAGAGAGGCAGAGACACAGGCAGAGGGAGAAGCAGGCTCCATGCACCGGGAGCCCAACGTGGGATTCGATCCCGGGTCTCCAGGATCGCGCCCTGGGCCAAAGGCAGGCGCCAAACCACTGCGCCACCCAGGGATCCCGTGGGAGCGGTTTCTATGCCACCTGACAGGAAGAAGTGGAGCCCCAGGCAAGCTTCCATGCTAAGGTCATGAAGGAAATGGAGAATCCAGTACCCTCTTCCTTTTTTTTTTTTTTAATTTTATTTATTTATTCATGAGAAACAGAGAGGCAGAGACATAGGCAGAGGGAGAAGCAGGCTCCTCACAGGGAACCCGATGTGGGACTCGATCCCTAGACCCTGGGATCAGGCCCTGAGCCAAAGGCAGAGGCTCAATCATTGAGCCACCCAGGAGTCCCTGATGCCCTCTTCCACTCTGAGTACAGTCTCTCCCTCTGGCTAAGGGCAAGCTGTGGCTCTTTAAGAGGCTCTAGGGCTGGGCAGCCCAGGTGGCCCAGGGGTTTAGCACCACCTTTGGCCCAGGGTGTGATCCTGGAGACAGGGGATTGAGTCCCACATTGGGCTCACTGCATGGAGCCTGCTTCTCCCTCTGCCTGGGTCTCTGCCTCTCTCTCTCTCTCTCTCTCTCTCTCTCTCTCTCTCTGTCTCTCATGAATAAATAAATCTTAAAGAAAAAAAAAAAGAGGCTCTAGGGCTGAGAAGGAAAAACCAGCATGTCCAGCTGGTTCCTAGAATGAAGGCTGGGGTGGGGGCCACTCACCAATGACCCTGCTGGCCTGTGCTGGGCAAGATCAGTGGACAGGGGATCCTGGACGGGAGGCACTCACCTTCCTTACAAAGCCCAAAGTCCGCAATCTTCAGGAAACCCTGGGCATCCAGCAGAAGGTTATCCAACTTTAGGTCCCTGAGGGTGCAGGGGCAGACCAAAGGGGCCCTGGAACATCACGGGGGAAGGCAGCTGCTGCCCCTTCACCTACGCCCCCAGTACCGCCAGGGCAAGTTACCTGTAAATGATTTTCTTCTCATGTAAGAACTGCAACCCGAGGATGACACAAGCCAGGTAGAACCTGTGGGTGGTGTCAGGGGAAGCTCAGGCCCAGGCCTGCGGGGGGCAGGGCAGGGAGACACCAGGATGGCCATGGCCTGGGCATCTCTGGATGTCCCAGCCAGAGTCAGACTGGATGAGAGACCAAGGGGAGCCCACACCAGGGGTGGGGGTTGCAGAGAGCAGGTGCTTCTCCAGACAGTGGCCTACCCTTCGATTATGCCAGGAATGATGCCATGTGTTCTTACGCCTTACTCCCTCCCACATCCTCCCAGCCACCTGCAGCTGATGCTTCTCACATCTGTTCTAAAAAGAGGAACTGACTCTAGGGCAGTGAGGCCCCTAGTGGCAGACCCAGACTCCAGAGCCTGCATTCTGGTGGGCAAGATATAACTCCAGATGCCAGTCACTTACTATACACTGGCTCCTGTGCTCAACAATTTATAAACATTGTGTCCATCTTACCCAACAAAGCTGAGAAATAGTTATCAGCCCCATTCGCAGTGACGTAAACTGAGGCCCAAGGTTACAAAGCTGTGACAATCTATGAGAGCTGCCAACCAGCATTTGAACCGAGGCTTCCTTGACTCCACATGCTCCTCTGCTGCCGCGTACCCTCAGGGAAGCAGGATGAAGGGAGCGGGCAGAGGCAACCGGGGAAGGCTTGCTAGACGAGGCGGCAAGATAGATGGGAACGCACCGGGCATGGGGCTCAGGGAAGACATCCTCATGGATCTGCATCATGAGGTCACCACCAGGTGCAAACTCTGTCACAAAGCATGCGTGGCTGGAGGTCTGGAAGCAGGCGAGGAGGGAGAGCAGGAAGGGGTGCCCCGTGCGGCCCACGGCTTCCAGGATGCGTTTCTCACAATACAGGCTGTGGTGGGGGGGAGGGGGCATTTGGAGGGAAGGAAGACCTCTGCTGGCTGTGCCCTGCCACCCACACAACACCCTCGGCTCTCTGGGCCTTCAGTCAAAGTGCCAGGCACTTTGATGAGTGATGATTTCTTTCTACAGTGAGAGTGATGATTTCTACATATCAGGCAGAGAGAAGAGGGGACCTGCCCAAGGGCACATGGTTAACAACTGCAGGTGCTAAAGACAGAGCCCAGGACTGGCCAGCCCCAGAGGTCACCTCTTCAAAGCCCCAAGAGCACTCAGCTGCCTTCCGGTGCCACTGGCCAGGCCAGCCATCCGGGGTCCCCTCCGGGGCCTGGTGCCCACTGGCCCGACTACACACCTCTCCATCTCGTCCCGGCTCAGCACCTCCTGCTTCTTGAGCGCTTTGATAGCGTAGTATTTCCCCGTGCCCTTGAATTGCACCAGGAGGACCTGGGCACCAGAGAGAGCTTGGGCTTCAGGCAGACAGCACAGGGAAGCTTCCCCCACCCCACTACCCCATGGATCACAGCATCCTCCCAGCTAAGGTGCTGGGGCCTCCTCACCCCCCCACACAGTTCCCCACCTCAGCCCACTACCTTCCCAAAGTGTCCCCGGCCCAGCACGGCCAAGCAGCGGAAGTCCTGAAGCCGGGGGGTTTCCTGCAAGAGAGGCATAGGAAGACAAGAGATGCTCCAAACTCTCTGTGCCCAGCCCCGGGCTGTCCCCACCAATGAGGCTACAAAGCCTGGGGATGGGGGTGGGGGTTCCTGGGACAGTGGTTTCCTAGAGTCTGGAATGCAGCTGGAGCTCAAAAATGTGGGTTTAGTGAGTAAGAATCTGAGAGCAAGGAATATCACATGATGTCTGAATGGACACACAAACACCCAAGTGAGTAGATAGATGTCTCAAGATAAAAGTGGGCCTGCCGGGGGTACCTGGCGACTGAGGCTGGAGGAGACGACCCAAGTTGCGTCCTGGGCTCCATGTGGGGGCGTTTGGTGCGCTGTGAGGGCAGAGGGGCTCAGAGCAGAGCAGAGCAGGGCTTCCTTCTGTCCCACCAGCCCTGCCACCCTTATCCGGGCAGCCCCCGGGGCTACAGCACCCCCTCACCGGTATCTCCTCGGAGGTTGGCTCCCGGGGCAGGTAGAGGCGTGGGGGCTTGGGCGGGGGCCTCATCTCTTCTCCCAAGGGGCTCTTCTTGGGTGGGACATTACTATGTGGAGAAAGTAGACACATGGCAGGGCACAGGCAGATGGAATAGCCATAGGGACAAACACACGGCGATGCCAGAGACAGACAGATGGAGGATCAGAGGGTGAGTGACGGGAACAGAACAACACCAATTGCACCTGGAGAGAGGCAGATGTGGCAGAGAAGAGGGCGGCTGAGGCGGGGTGGCTCCTCACCTGGGCGAGGCAGGGTCGGCAGCTCCCCGGGGGGTGGCTGGAGTCTGGGGACATGCTTTGGGGGGGCTGATTGTGCTTGGGGAGCTGCAGGGGGGCAGCAGGCTCATGACCAAGCGTCCCCAGGCCGCCATGCTGAGATTCATCTGGGAAGCTCTCAGAAAGTCCTGACCTGGGACAAAAGGAGGATTCGTCCTGGGGCCCCCAATAGCCCCTGCCCTGCCCCCTAACTGCACAGCTCTCTCCTGGCCACACCTCTGCGTTTAGAGAAAATGCGTTTCTGCCTCTGTAGCCGGGGCCTCCTCTCAATGA